CATGAGTTGCTCTGAGTTAATGGACATCTTCAATAACCACAACCATCTGGCCAAATAAGTCTTAAATAACCTCAATGGGTAAAGGAAAAAAAGAAGCAGACAGGCTTTCACTCACGTTCACATTGCCATGAGAGACTAGTGAGACTGTGAGAAACTCAGGCATCTCTAACACAGTGGTTCTCAATCTCTTGGTCTCAGGACCCCTTTACACTTTTAAGTTATTGAGGACCCCAAAGACTTTTTGTTTATGTGGGTTATATTTATGATTATTTACCACATTAGAAAGTGAAACAGAAATTTCAAAAATATTTAATAATTCATTTAAAAGTAACAAAAATAAAGCCATTACATGTTAACATAAATAACATTTTCTTGTAAAAACATAATTTTCCAAAAAAAATTAATGAGTGGAATCGTTTTCCATTTTTGTAAATCTCTTTAACGTATGGCTTAATAAAACACAGCTGGATTCTCATACTTGCTTCTGCATTCAATCTGTTTTCAGGGAGCGTTTTGGTTGGAACATATGAAGAAAATAGATGGAGGCCTTTTCAGATAACTGAAGTATCTTCAGTGAATAGTCTTCTTTGATTCTAAATTAAAACTTGACAAGAGGTAGCTTCTAAGGATAAGTGAGGTGGGGAATTGAAAACTGTTATCAATGGACTTTTCACACTCTGCTACATTAACCGCCACTGGTCCATCTTGCACTTGAATGGGTTTTTTTACCCATGCATGGCTGTGGAATACCATGTGTTGGTCAGGTGGAAGATACTGTTGCAGTAAGTTATGCAGATCTCCCAAGTACTGGAACACTTTATCATAAAATATTTTTCAAAATCACATTATTAACATCACTTCTGCTCTCCTCAGAAGTCTTTTAACAACTGGGAAACAGTCAAGCTCACAGTGGTGGATATAAGTTTTCCTAAATTCTAATTTTCACTTGAAAGCACAATTTTATCACTGGCAACAAATATTGTTAGTTGTTTCCTTGAAGTGACATGTTTACTTCGTCCATTTTCAAAAGGTCTGCCAAAAACTAAGTATGAGTAACCATAGTGGTCAGTCATTCTTTCAAATAAGAATGGTGTTCCATGAGAAAAGTGGTTAGTTCAGCTTGTGACTCAAACAATCCTACACGTACTTTTTGTCAAGACCACGACCACTGTGCTGCACTCCACAGCAGAAGGGCTTCATGCATATCTCTCATTTGGCCACACAGAACATTAAAAGACATGTATTCAAGGGTTGAGATTTAATAACATTAATAGTCTTTACTATTTCATCAAGGCCATTCTTAAGTGACATGAGCTTTTTTTCAGAGGAGGTGGCAGTAAAGAATGCAATGGCTCCTAGTACAGTTTGTTGTCACAGCCTTGAATCATGCAAAAGTGCCAGGTGTTTACCCACCATTGCTTTTGCATGATCAGTACAACTGTCAACAGTGAAAAGGCTAATAACATATTACTATGAGAATATTTTTGACCCTGATGACCCCTTTGAGAACTGCCACCCTAACAAATACCTCTTATGGCCACAGCTGCTTTCAGAATATGGCAGGAGCTCCGAATGAAGTCATTCCTCCATAAACCCTACAACTAGCCAATCAACATTTGTTTAAATGCTTCTGAAGCACACATAAAAGCTAAGATTCTTTAGAATACTTCCTCTGACTTTTCCTCAGAAACACAAGGCCAAAAAAAGGATGATAAGAAGCAGAGATTGTTAATTAAATTTATGTTGTATATTCCCAAGCCAGTCCTATAAGGTAATGACACTGGAGAAAGAGAAGGAAACAAACTCAAGGGCAGCAACAGCCAGTAAATCTTGGCAGGCAAAACACAGTGGAACCAGAGCTAGGTGTGTCTGTGCAAGACTCAATTAAGCTCCCTTTCAGAGGATGCAGTGCAGCAGTGAATCTAAATGACACAGGACCTAAGAGAAGCCACAACATGTGACAGAAAAGACAAAGACATGGCTTAAGGACAGTGGGCAGGTCCATCCTTAATGTTTTCCTTTATATCTCCCCCAGGTTCAGTCAAAAGGAATCCAGAGACAAAGAAGTAAACAAAATCCAAACAGAGACTCTCTGAAAGCTATATTCAACCCAAAGGAAGTAAGAACAACTACAAACAGCATTTCGCTCACTTGCAATTACTCAGTCTGGGCTGTACCTAAACTAAAAATGCAATTCTCAAACTCAAGTCATTGTCAAGGCCATGCAATGAGTCAGTGGAATAACAAGCTTAAGAACAGGAACCAGAATGTCAGGCTCCATCCAGCAAAATGCTTCCAAATCCAATAGGAGACATTACTGCCCATGGCCTTCATATTCCCAGTTGCCTCTAGGATGGGCTAGATCTCAAGAAGGGCAAACTGAGGAGCACAGAGGTCAACCACATCGATCCTGGAACCAGAGTTGGCAGAGTGCTCACTCCAGTTCTCCTGTGCTGTCCCGCAGGACATGGCCACACTGCAGTCACATCCGAGGTCGGCCTGCCAGCACAGAGTGCTATTCCTAAGACTTCTCTGCAGGAGAGACTTCAACCATGGGGACATGGCCACCCTGACTTTGGAAGTGTCACAAGCATGACCATTTTTCAAAGTACAGAGCAAAATACGTATTTGTGGATTAGCTCAAAAAGCAATCCACTACTTAAATCAATTCAGTGAAAAAACATGAATCAAGAAGACACCCCCATGCTAATCTACTCTGTTACTTTTTCAAAGGCTTTGTGATATTTGCTGATGAGAAATGGGTGCTTTCTTAACAGACGTCATCTAAGCATGGGGAATGTGAGCCCTGGTTTGCCTGTGCAACTTCCTGAAGAGGTCCTGTGCTGTCACCTGGTGGAAAAAAGGAGAACCTGCCTCATGTGCCCCAGGCCATGACAAAAGCATTCCTGTTCCATGAAGTTTCTCTGTACTATAGTTGCTGGGGGACAATGCAGACCCCACCTGGGCCTCAACTGCTGTGCTATCTACTTCAGGCAGAGCATTCTACTAAGACACTCAGCTAATAACTGACCTTGGGTGGAGGAAACGGTCACAGAGACAGTTAATCACCACAGTCACCTGCAAGCCCTGTAAAGCAGGGAGAAGAAAGTGCAGAGGCAGGCAGGCAGGCAGGCAGGCAGGCAGAGTGACCAGGAAGGGAAAAGGGAGTTGGTGAGGAAGTGCTAGAAGAATTCACAAAGGAAGCAGGATGGAGCCAGGAGGAAAAATACAGATGAAAGTCACCAATTGCAAAACGTTGCCCTTGAGATTTTAAAATATTTTTAACCAAATAACTAGAAAAACTAATTCATAAAGATTGAGGTGTGTAACAATGAAAAGTTAAAATGTCTCATCTCAATATATAAAAATAAGAAATCCTATTCATTCCTTCTGATGACGTGCAAGAAAGAAAAAAGAAAGAAAAAACCTATTTAGTTAAAAAAATAATAAGAACACCTTTTTATATAATGTTCATAGAAGGGGGAAGACAAGAATATCCTCAAACAATAATTATTCCTAGAAGATGGGTTTTTCTGTCTGTGGCAGGGGCTTCATTAAAATTCTAATTTATATTTTGTGTGTGTGTTTCCTTTACCTGTTTCCAAGAAGACAGGAGGGCTTTCCCTGTGCCCCCTGACTCCAGGGAAAGCTATGCAGCCAGGCTAAAAGCAAAGCTTTCTGCAGATAACGTTCCAGCTTAAACTCACTGAAAATAATTTATCATAAAGGGTATTCTAGAGGGAGAAAAAGGAGACCTAGTGCCTTTAAAGGAAAAGAGGAGAAACCAAAAGAGAGAAGGGCCATTTCCTAGGACTAGAAAAAAACAAAAGCTGTCATTGGCTATACTCGAGAAGCCGATGGGTCTTAGGAGACCGGACTCTGAGCAGTGCAAAAAGGCTATGAGCCTGGGCAAGACCCTCACACACAAAGCTGCCCAGAAGCAAGGGAGTTCTGTGAGCCTGGACAGCAGAAATCGTGACAATAACTATTCTGGGCCAGAATTGGGGAGTTCCTCCTGAATACTGTACTTGAAATAAGAACCAAGGATTCTTGCCTGACCCTGGTGTGAAGCCTCAAAGTCAGGTTTAATTCAATTAAAGAAATGAGGTGATGTTAGTTGTATACCAACTTTCTGAAATAAGATTTATAGCCACAACATGTTTTCCAAATTTTTAAAAATGAATCCATAGTACTTTTATAATCAGAAAAAAGGTCAGCAACAAAACTTTATTAACAAAAACTTGTTTCTTTTCACTATTGGTAATGAACAGTCTGCCTTAAAAGAACATTAACATCAGTGCTGAATGTATGACTTCATGGATCCAAAGTCAGCTCCAACCTTTGAGAGAGCAGTGCTCCTTGAATCCTTGTGGTCTGGAATTCCCATTTGTGCTACAGCAGCCTGTGGTCATAGACATTATTCAAGTAAGCCCCAGAAACACACAAAACATTTTCTTTGTGGGTTCTTACTGACTTAGAAGGCATGGTTACAAAATCAAGGAGATGCAAAAGGGTTATAATGACACAACCATTTAAGTATCAGACAGTTTTAAAAGTTCTTTCTGGCATCAGAGCCTCCTTTTAAATTAATACCGACACATCTATTTTGAAAGTGTGTTAAATCAGCAGGAAGGAATGCTTTATACACAGCATCTCCAATCCATAAAACCTCCTGTTCTCACAGTGAAGTGTTATCCGGCCCTTCCAAGACAAGATTTTCTCCTTCTGACTCAGTTTTGAGAAGGTGAAAATCACAATCACAAGTGGAAATGAAATGTATCATCTTAATAGCAGCAATCACCCCCAAGCCTCCTTATACAACTGGTCTCTGCAATGCTCAGCACCTGCTTCTCCCTCTAAACCCCAGGCTGCTCTTAAGCTCCCAGGACTCCCCCAGCTTGCCTCCCTGGAAGACAGCATCTTCTCCACCTCCTAGTAGTACCCCAGTGTGTGGGTTCACAGAAAACTGAGCAGCATAGAAAAAGCACAAGGGAACTTGCCTTTTCCATCTGTTGCTGATGCTTCTTGTAAATGTCTAATTGACCTAAAAATAAACGTTTGGAGAACAAAAGGTTAGCTGACAAATTTGCAATCCTCTCTATATTCAGCTCTAGCTCTGAGGCTTTGAATTCCTCAATTATAAACTGAAAGGGTTGGACTAGATGATTTTAGAGCATTCTCCCTAAAAAAAAAAACCTTTGATAATCAACACTATGCCATATATGGTGCTCAAGTCAAAGAGGTAAAGATGCCCTCTGCTGGTCAAATCTGTGGCAATGAGTCTGGCAGGGACCAGAGTGTGAGGAGAAAATGAAACACAATCATCTAACTCTCTTGGCACTCTACCTAATCTCTCATTCCCACAACCATCCCCCACCCAACACTCCTAAGACAATGGAACATCACTGAGAATCGACCCTAGAAGACCCTAGAAAAAAGTCACCAGCCAACTTCTAAAGTCTAGGTCCAGAAGCTGTGAACATATGGCTTCATGCAAACTCATTTCATTGAGTGGAGATTTATAACTTTGCCGAAAAATGCCGGACTCCAGGGAGTCTTTTTTCAGCTGTGTTGTGCAGTAATTAATTACCATCATTACAGTTCAGGCAGGGGACATTAACGTTATTAAAGCCACAGATCAGAGTTCTATGCACAAGCCACTAAGGAAGACTGCCCTAAAGGATGAGCACAGCACAGGCAGATAGGGCAGCACAGGGGGAGAGGGCCAGGGTCTGACAGTGTCATTTACTCTTGTCACTTCTCCTAAAACCTCAATGGATTGCCCACCTGTGAAAGGGGACTGTTTCCTTGAGAACTGAAAGGGGTAACATGAGAAAGTTCACTAGCGCAAAGCTGGCACTGAACCAATGCTGGCTGAATCTGAACATTTAAAAAGATATACTGATAATATTTCTTAAATCGCCTCTCCAGTACTTATTTTTTTCATTTTACAGCAATTTTCAGAATATCTACCTTGAAGAATCTTGCCATTTGGCACCTGCTCATTAGTGTTGTAATTAACAAGTGGCAGGAAACGGACACTTGAAGCTCCACTTCTTGTCTGGGTCCCTTATATTTTACTGTTCCAATAGCGGCAAATGGGGTTGTAAACTGTTTGCTAATAAGATGCTCTTTTCTAACTGAAGACAATGCTGGTCATCCTACATTACAGATGCCCAAGTTACTTATTCCTGGGCAGGATGGCAGGGAGGTTGTAGTGATTAAAAAGACTCATTCGTGCTCTCTCTTCTGTGCTGGTAGCTATCTGCTGAACTGACATATGTACACGTGTAATATATGATGGAATTAGGGTGAAGAGTAAATCTAATTGGCTGGAATGAGGATAATGCTCTACTGGCATCATGCTCTAAACACAGTGATAAGAGTAACTGATTGAACTGACAAACCCCGGGGTCCTAAAAAAATACTAATTTACTGCACGGGGCATTGCAATAAGAAGCATCTCACTTCTAATAGAAGGCAGGTAAATCTATTTCTTTAATCTTTATTTCAAAAGAATTCATTCATTCATACAGCCATGGAACTAGATCATTAAGGGTAAAGTAAGTATTTTGTTAGCTTTTTTCTCTCTACTTCGTTCTTAATCAAGAATTTCCATCACTTTGCATGTGATTTAACAAAAATATTCTTTCTCATCAACCACTGACTTGGCACTAACATTTTTTTACACATAATCAAAGTACAATACATGCATCTAAAGCCTGCCACTTCCGGGAATGGAGCTAACTATTCTGAAGACATCTAAAATGTTTACGTGCTGAGAACTATCATAAGTTTTATGTTAACACACTTCTTCATTTTCCATCTAACTTGGCAAGAAAGGGCTATTTGTGGGATTTCTTCAACTCTCTCCTCCCCAAATACAAGCTGCTTTATGTTGCCACTAAGTTCTCGTTTCCATACCCTTCTCTATTGTCTTAGAACTGTGCTAAATGCCAGCCCATGGTGCCAGACCAGCTCTGTCAAAATCCCCTGGGTAATAATAAAGATGCACATGCCCTGTGATTGGGACCAATCCATGTGGTGCACACATGGCTTCCCTCCCCGTGCGTCACTCACCACACCACTGGGAAGAGGATGGCTCCGCAGCACAGCAGGTCAACCAGAAAGAGAGAATCCTTCCACAAGCCATACTCAGTGGTGCCCTCCTCAGTGGACTCTATGATGATATAGGCCACATTTGCCAGGACCTACAGGACATGAAAAGGTGCTGAGGCCCCAAATCATGGGTGAGCTGTTACAACAACAGCAGCCACAATGTGGGGTACACACCTGGGCCATGGGCCCCGGGCCTCCAAGCTGCAGCCACTACCATTATTTCCAGTCTCAAATGGTCTTCTGGAACTCTATATCACTCTGCTGACAAGAAGTGAGTTCCTGTGCCATGCCCTTGAACCTGGGCACCTGTGACTGCTCTGACCAACAGAGTAAGATCGAAGTGACGTAGTGAGATTTCCAAAATAAATACAGCTTCTGTTTGGCTCTCTCCAGGAACCTTTGGAGCTCTGAGCCTTCTTGTAAGTTTGGCTACCCCAAAACTGCCATGCTGAAGAGACCATGCAAGGATAGAAAGATGCCTGAGAAGCCCCAGCTGTCCCAGCCGTCCCAGCCTAGGAGACAGATTCAAGTGAAGACTTCAAGATGCCACTGTCTGACCATAACCTGAAATCTCATGCCAGACTTACCCAGTTAATCCACTCCCCAATTCCTGACACACAGAAACTAAGAGGGAGAATTCATGGTTATTGTAGTTTTAAGTCACTAAGTTTTGTGGTGATCTCTTATACAGCAATAGGTAATCAGGACACTCAGCTTTGCTTTTTAGGCACCCCGAGCCTCAGCGGAGTCACTCAGGTGCTGGATGGGTGGCACTTCACATCCCACTTAGCCATGAGGCCCACACTCCTCATGCACAAGTCCTCCCTGAGAACCCCTGGCTCTGAAAGTAACTCTTTTAAGTGCCAGATAACAGAGACCAGAGAGGCAAAAATGGCAGATTTCAGCCAGTGGTTGAGTAGTCACATTGCTCTTCACAGCAACAATTCAAGCCCAGGTCCTCCCTGCACTGGACATGGCACAGCTCTTCCCACTGGAGTTCGTCTGTGCCCATGTACTGCATCTATTTCCAAAGTTAAGGCTTTGCTTTGCATGTTTAGTCCTGTTGTCAGGCTCGTAGCATGTTATGAAGTCTTTCACCTGGCTAAAGTAAGGTGCCACTGAGCACAAGGGAAACTTACAATTTATGGTGTGTTTCCTACGTACCCCTGCAAGAAATCCATGGTCCCAAATACTCTGCTTGACTTGGCGCAAAGGTAATTCTCCACACTTACAAGAAATGTGAAATCTGTTGTGCTATTACTGGGGGAAGTCTCTAAGTGCAGTTTCTCTTTCTAGGCAGGACTTAAAAACTAAATCACCACTGAAGCCATACTTCACTTCACACAAATGCAAAAATTATTTTTAAATTTTAGTCTCTCCACTGAAACCCAGTTTCTAGGTTCTTCCCTGCCTCGTGTTCCCCCTGAAGACTGGGCTATATGAAACATTTGCATCTGTGGCCCTATCTATGGAGACAAAGTGGAAAACAAAGGCTTTCACATCATAATTCCATTTTGTCCTTAATTCACACACTTTACATGAGAGAAAGAATGTTCCCAGAGGTGTCCGTGTTGAACATGTGTCAGTAGTGTTCTTGAAACACCATTTCGTATGTACCTCACTTATTCAGAAACTTTCTGTCACTGCCCGTGGCCAAAAGCAAGCAGTTTTAACTTTTCAGGATGACATTCAAGGTCTTCCCAGACTAGTTCCATTATCTAAATACTCATAACTTCCTTATATTTAATTTTTAAATGTCCTTATTTCCTCAGAAAGATGTTCCACGTAACCTTGAGTGTTTATCTTTCAGGAGAGCAAAGAGGGGGAAGCTGGAAAGAATGTGTCCTGTTATGCCACAGTTCAGGCCAGGGGGAGGGAGATTCTAACTAGAGGGAAAAGGACACCAGCAACAGTATGGCAAAGTGGGAAGAGGACCCAGGTTCCATCACTTACAAATAATGAGACCGAGGCAGGCTGTAGAACTCAGTATGGCTGAAGAAGTGGCCCTGGTGGCTCAACAGCCAAAAGACTCTCAGCGCCTCTGTTCACCAGACAGCAATATCATATGTTTCTGCTGCTACTCCTTTCCTCTGCCACAAAGCTCTTCTAGATCATTCTAATTTGAGTGATTACTCTCTTGTTGGAAACTTATAGAAACTGGTCTATACCATTCATTTGGTGCTCATATATGTCCCTTATTATTGAATGTGAGAGTAGCGTTGCTGCAAACTTTCCCAACCGACCAATCCCCAGAGTTGAATGAGCACTCACCCTTCTTTCCCCCACCTGCCACATTTACGTTATTCTCCAAAATGTGTAATCAGTTGACAAGAACTTTATCAAACAGATGCTCTTTGCTCAAGCAGAGCAGAGTAGTTGTCTGTCCTTGCTATAATCACTCTATTATAAGTTCTTCACATCCAGTTCTGCCTTCAATAACACGATTAAGTATAAGATAAGGTTCCTTTCTGGAGGGGCTCATAACCTTGTAAGGCTGGCCTCAGTCCACAGCCCCAAACATAGGAAGCGTTTAATAAATGTTTGCCCCTGATGTCCACTATCATATTCTACCTTGTGAAACTCACTAGTATCATTCATGATATTTAAAATACTTTGTTAATAAAATTGCTATGTATCTAAACTTCTTCGCAGAGGGCAAACAAATGCATGTCTCCCTAATTTTTCAGTAGCTCGCTAATCAAAGTCTGGACATCCTCAGGCCAGTTTCAAGATGACCGACGGTCAAGTATCTCCCAGAGCAATGACCTCAAGTCTAGGACTGTCAGAATTCAGAAAGAGAATCCCAACCTTCAATCCCCAATGGCAGAAGCTGGGGTTTCTGAGCAAGCTGACTCTCTCTTCCCAGACAGATCTGGAGCTGAGCTCTGTTAAGTGCCAAGATAGGAACTGACAGGCAGGATGAGGGTTTCTTTACCTGGAGTGGGATGACAATCATGAAGATCCTTTTGTCTTTATCGGAAAGGATGTGCTTAATGAAAGCCCAGCCAGTACCAATGAGAGCAATGGTGATGAACAGTAGCGCCCCTTTCAAACTGGAAGAGAAAACAATTCATAGACACCAATGGGGCTCTTCAGACTCTCTCTCTGCCAGTTAGACTGTATAGCTCATTCTATGACTTCACATGCTTCTTGCAAAAGACAGGCAGCCAAGTTCAGGAAATGCATCACATGTAAACAACACTTTTTAAGGGCACAGAAATTAGTTAGCTCTACTTCTCTTGTATGGGATTTCATGGCATTAGTATTTCACTTGTACCTGCATACTTACAGGTGAGTTATGTAGTACACAACAGCCCAACCTTCAATCGGAAAGCCCTGGGAGGAGATGTAGTGGTAGTCGATCTGAAATCAAACAACTGCATTTCACAAAGGTTGATCAAGCACATGCCTTAGTGCATAATGAAACAGTAAATGACCGTAGAGGACCTCAGGATGGGGGATGTCCTCCCCACCCCACTGCCTAATACCTCAGTTGTCAATTCACAAATTAAGCCTACGAATGCACTAACAAACATTAGGTAGCTTAAGAAACTTGACACAAAGTTTCAGTGTCACTAACACCCAGCCTAGGTCCCTCTCTTGGAGCAAATGATTCACCCTGGCAAATGGCTGCCTATTCTTTTCCTAATATTTCCAAGGTCCAGGTACTACACACCTCTTCAGTATCCCAGCCAAGAACTTTATCTTTCATATACCTGCTTACATAAGTAAATAAGTCAGTCGGTCAGTCAATAAAAAAAAATCTATGTGGTATCGCCCAGCTTCAGCTATTTTTTTCTTGAAAAAAATCTGTAAATTTATTTATTTATTTATTTATTTATTTTGTCTTTTGTCTTTTTCCGTGTCCGGCAACGGATCGCAACCCTCAGTGTTGCCCCCGTACCGGACCGGGGACCGGCAACGGGATTGCAACCCTTGGTGTTGCCCCCGCGCCTCGCTCAGCCAGTGAGCGGGAACCGGTCTGTATGTGGGATCCGAACCCTCGGGCGGGAGCGCCGCCACGCTTCCCAAGCGGCGCACTTATCCAGTGCACCACCGGGCCGGCCCCAAGAATCTGTAAATTTAGAGCTACCTGAAGCCACCAGTGCATTTTAACTAAAGTGATAAGTTTTATTAGTGTGCCGAAAATGCCCTCTGGCAGAACCCACAAAGCTGACATCAATTTATATGTCTCTCATTCTATACAAATGGTTATCTATTTATACGGCTCCAGAAAGAATCTTTTAACGTAGATCCAAATGGGAAATTACCCAAACAACTGCCATTTCTTGACAGTGTAACTGGATATATTATTGATTTTTTTTCCTATGAGGACATTTTCAAGTGGAGCAGGAAAGTGCATGTCTAGATAGAGACTGTCACCCTTACAAGTATGGTCCCTGGATACCTTGTAGGTCCACAAACTGGGCAAGTCCATTTCAAGTACATCAGTTCTAAAAGCTCAAAGCTGAAGCTCAATTCTGTTTTAGTTTTGGGGTTTTTTTCTGAATTTTTTTGTGTTTGTATATATGGCTGGTCAGTACAAGGATCTGAACCCTTGACCTTGGTGTTACAAACACCATGCTCTAACCAGCTGAGCTGACCAGCCAATCCAGAAGCTCAATTCTTATGTCTCAATTTTCTCTCAAATAATTATGCTAATACTGAACTTTAAATCAAGCAGAAACATGAGTGTATATTTAGAAAAACTAAAGAAATCATTGAAACAATTCAGTAGGTGGCACTCTCATCTCAAGAAACGATAAAAACAAAGAAATAAAAACAACAAGTGTTCTAGAAAGATTCTGGATTTGTAAGTAGTATTAGAAGTTGTTTTAAGTCTAGCATTGTGGGAGATTCTGGTCATTTACCCCTATGGCCAGTCAATCCCAGACAAAAGGAGGCTTTATGAAAAATGTATTCTTTGACCTTGTTTCCCACCAATTTATCCCCTTTCTTCTATTTTTCCTACTTATATAGTCATTGTACATCATTCATGAATGATCCCCCAAATGCTCCCCAAATGCTAATACATACTGCATGGAACACCAAGGAAAGAGACTTGGTGAAAGGAAGTGCTGCCATCAACCAGTGAATTTTAAACACATCATTCCTATAAAAAGAGAGAAAAAAATTAAAAGAAAATTCCACTCTCCCGAAAAACAGCCAAAGCTTCAGGCATCAGACATATTTATAAGGAGTCAGTTCATATAATCTACACAAGCCACAAACATGAACCCTTTTTTTAAAAAGTGGTTTTTGCGCGTAGAAAAGGTCTCAAATGGAGTCCTAAGGTCATCTCCAATATACAATTTAATGTTGTGAATGGAACTGACAGCTATGCATTGAAGCCAGACATGATGGCTTCTGAGTCTTGACAGGATGGAAATCTAACACAGGCTGCCACTTCCTCCCCGGAAACCACCCTGAGAAGACCACAGAGGAAGAAATGAGGCAGATGAATTTGCGAAAACAATCTCCAGGAAAGCAGAAAGCAATAGGTGTGGCTGCAGGAAGTCTGCAGCCCAGAGCAGAGGAGGGCTGGGAGTGGGCATCAGGGAGGCGTGAGGGGAACATGCTGGGTCATGCCCCTCTCATCCCCACTATGGCTGGTGCCTGCCAAACACGCCAGGCTGGTGAGGTAAAAGCACACCTCTCCCCCCAACTCCCCCCAACAGGTACTAGTCCACCTTTGGGACTAGTCCACCCTCAGTAATGAACCTAATAGGACATACAAAACCATTATGGAGAAAAACTGAAAATTCTATTAATAAAGTCCACAAACAAAGACTTAAGTAAGAGCCACAGGGAAACTCATACATTCAGATATTGAGACATTCTGCAAAGCCACAGCAGTACAAAATGTGGAACGGGTGAAGTTTATTTGTTATTCAGACAAATACATCAATGGAATAAATTAGAGAACTGTGAAATAGATTCATGCATGTATGGAATTTTGATATATGATAAGGTGACACCAAATGAGTGAGAAAGGATAGGCTGTTTAATAATTGGCATGGGAAAAAAAATCAGCTCAAACCTATAAATAGAAAAAAATAAAGCTGAATATCTATTCCACACTTACATAAAGGAGGATTCTAGATGGATTTCAGCTCTAAACATAAAATACACATTTTGTGATCTTAGGGTAGGAAAGGGCTTCTTAAGATCCAAGAAGCACTGCCCAAAAGACTAAAACTAGATAGTTTTGACTCCATTAAAATGAAAGATTTTCACTCGACAATGAATACCACAGACCAGTTTAACAGATTTGGAAAAGAAACTTGAAATGTCTAAGATAGACAAGGTACTGATATCCACAATATGTTAGAAACTCATGCACAGCAAGAACAAAAAGACAGAAAACCCAAGAAAAAAATATGCAAAGAATATAGGCAGCCACAAGAGTGGAAACTCAAATGGCAAGCAAGTCCCTGAAATGATAATCCACATCACTAATATTCAGAGAAATGCAAAATAAAACAAGGTACCAGTTTACACCCATCAGACTGGCAAAACTTAAGATGTCAGTGTCAGTAAGTACATGGGAAAATAGGAACCTTGTGTACTGCTGGCAGAAGTATAAATTGGTATGGCCATACTGGTGAGCAATCTAGCAGCACTTAATGAAATTAAAGGAGAGGCTACACATGACCCTGTGCGCCTCCTTCTGGGACTGTAGCTCAGAGACTGAACGGAACCATCAAGGATCACAGGAGGCAGGAACCAGGTTCATGACAGCACTGGCTGTAGTAGCAAGGAGATGGCAGCGACCCAGGCATGCACCCATCACTAAAGGAACGGAGAAATAAAATGTAGGGATGCAGATCATGGAATGCTAGGGAGCAGTTAGAAATCAATGAGATAGATGTGCACACAGCCATGTGGTTAGATCTTAAAAAGCATATTACTGCATGAAAAATGTACAAGAACAATATCTACAGATAGTACAGTTTATATAAATTTAAAATACATGCAATACCAATAAACATTACTTATTTATAAGAATATACAAATATCCAAAAATGTACACTAAACACATCTGAGTGGCTATCCACAGTTGGGCAGGAGTGGGACAGGGGACAGGAAAGGAAGGGGAATAAGAAAACAGGAGAGGGGCCTTGCGCAGTGATCACGAGAGCACACCATGAACTGACACATTTAGTTTCCAGGCTGACTTCCTCCCTGGTACTTTCCTGTTCCAGTGCCCACCTACTTGAAAGTCAAAGAAAAAGTCAAGGCCAGAGGAGTCTGTCACTACTGAGTGGCAATGAGATTTACCCAAAATGCAAAACTGCCCATTGTAAAGAGCTGTGCTCACTCACACACCCTGGCGACCTTGACTTGCAAGCCCACACTTAATGCTGAGGCAGTGATGTGATGGAAAGAACACAAGCTCTGAAGCCACATCGACCTGGGCTCAAATGATTGTTTCATGCTGATGACCTTCGTCTCTCTCTAAGCGCCAGTAACCTCTTCTGAGAACAGGGTAATGCCCACCTCAACAAGCTGTTAAAAGAATAGCTGAACTAACCAACAACAACTGCCTAAATAGACATAGAGCAGGTACTCAAAAAGTATCAGGTGCCTCTTTTCCCTTGCCCTCAGGATCCCCCTCCCCATGCTCTGGGGCCCACAACACACTCAGAGTTGAGAGGAGCCTGACTGACAATGCACAAGCAATGAGACCTGGGTTCCAGTCCCAGCTCTGCCTGGTGACGCTGGCCGTGTCTCTCACTTCCCCTCCTCTGGCCTCAATAAATGAGGCAAAGATCTCTCAGTTCCTTCCAGCTCTAAAGGGCTATGAGCCTGTGAAATGTGCCCAGCTGTGGAGTGACATGCCTTTACAGCACTCATATTCCAACGTAACAGAACTGGCTGTAAGACTCCTGGAAAGACACAGGGAGGGCTTAAATGGTACTTTTCTGTATGTATACTATACTTCCACAAAAAATTTAAAACATGACTTATACAAAATAGGTCAACCTCATTTAACCACGGATTTAAAACTGTTACCACAATGTTATATAAGTGAAATAGTGGCAATGATTACTGCCATTACTAAATAAAGGAAAATTAAAATACCACTAAACACCTGGTCAGTAAACTATTTTAAAAGTACCTCACATTTGCATAGCACAATGATTTGCAAAGTCTTCTCATTAACAATATTTTGGGGGGAATTATATAACAAATCTAAGGATCTAAGACTCTTGGAGGAAGGCAGAGCAATTATTACTGTCCCAGTTTTACAGTCCAGAAAAAAGAGACTTAGAGTATAACAAGGCACACAGGCAGTCACAAAGGTTACACCTGAAGTCAGTTCTTCTGACTCCTAGTTCTTTCTTTTCCAGTAAGGGCAAAAGTAAGACTTACTTTTAAAAAAGACCAAAAAAAACCCCTATAGCCTAAATTTGTAGGATTCTTTCTTTCTTAGTAATGGCTGCCTGATAATCCAGTCGTAACATGATTGTGTAGGTTCTTCACAAGTAAACAAGACACTCTTTCCACCTAACAGATGTATAGGATATTGCAACAAATAGGTACCAGCAACTACACTCAGCCAGAGCCCAAAATACCAGACTCTGAGCATGTCCATTAGAAGACAATCAGGTTACCAGGGATTAAAAAGGTCTCAATTTCTGGCCTAAGAAAAAGAGTTATCTGGGGGTGCTGAATTATTTTATGAATTTAAATTAATTCATATTACAATACCACATTCACATACCATCATTTACTCAGTTTACAGACTTTATAAGATAACAAACACTTTACACTATTCTGTAAATGAGTATTAATATTTTGTTCTCAATTTTCTCAGGAGAAAGAATTCACACATATGCAGCTGTTCTCCTCAAGAAACAAGTACAGGAAGTTAAAGCCTTGGGGGTTTCAGAAGCAAGGCCAAGAGCCAGGCAGATGGGCTTTGAAGAGGTTTCCTCCAGTGATAAAGCATCTGGAGGTCAATTCAGGGACTCTCTCCTGGCCAGGCTTTGAGCTGATGCCTTCAGTACTAAGCAGTAACTCAGTGCTTGCTCCCAGTAAGTGGGTCATCATCACTAACTTCCTCTAAAGAATAAACAGCCCCTGAATGGAACCAACGTGCTCACTCTGAGTCCTGGACTGTGGGGTTTCTGTTATTGAAACCTTTTCCTTACACATTTAATTTTCCATATATATATATATATATATGTTTGTTTGTTTATTTTGGTGGCTGGCTGGTACAGGGATCCAAACTCTTAACTTCGTGTCATTAACACCGTGCTCTAATCAACTGAGCTAATCAGCCAGTCCTATTTTGCCTATATATTATTGAAATATTTAGATTTGCCTTTTATTTATTTATTTATTTCGTCCTTTTTGTGACCAGCTGCACCGCGCTCAGCCAGTGAGTGCACCGGCCATCCTTATGTAGGATCCGAACCCGCGGCGGGAGCACTGCTGCACTCCCAGTGCTGCACTCTCCCGAGTGTGCCACGGGCTCGGCCCTTTAGATTTGCCTTTTAAACAAAACAATGGGACGTGAACAAACACCAAGGCATGCAAAGGCCTCCCACACTACAAGTCTCTTGCAAAGTCTCCCTAGTGTTTCAGGGAAGATGCCCTTTGAAGAGAATGACATTAATTAGTGCCAACTCCTCCCAGGTTCAGAAGCCAGCAAAAGGTGAAATTACACAAATCTCAACACACTCTAAGTAGAAGGTTCAGGAAAGTAATAGTTTACCTTCGTTTTCGAAGGATGTGAATCCAGATGGTCCCAGAAACGAAGAAGAAAAAGGCCATAGAAATGTATAATTTGGGGAGAGGAATTTCTCCTGCTGAGAGATAGCTGTCAGGATTCTTCTCTGTGATATCAATCTGAAAGCAACATGAAATTAATTTTTACTTTTCAGAAACAGATCATCCCTTATTAAGCAATTTGGAATCTCAGCCGTTTTACTTAATTACAAGAAAGTGAGTATCAGTATGATAACAACCACATTCTTAACGCTCAGGTTGAAGTGAAGTTGAATTCATAAACAAGAAACTATAAATTACTTTACAGTTTCTTATTTATAAATCCTTTGCTAAAATACCCTGCCCACTGGAAAGGATGTGCATCTGGCCACGTTTTTCTCTTAAACCCATTCTTGAAAGGAAATCAGTATACCAAAGAGATACCTGCACACCCGTGTTTACTGCAGCACTATTTACAATAGCCAAGATATGGAGTCAACCTAAGTATCCGTCAACAGAAAATGTGGTATATATACATAATGGAATACTACTTGGCCATAAAAAAGAATGAAATCATATCATTTTGCAGTAACATGGATGAGCCTGGATGACATTATGTTAAGTGAAATAAGTCAGGCATAGAAAGATAAATACTACATGTTCTCACTTGTATGTAAGAGCTAAAGAAAAATGAGTTCATAGAAGTACAGAGAATAGGATTGTGCTTACTAGAGATTGGGAAGGGGAGAGGGAGGAGGGATAAGAAGAGGTTGGTTAATGGATACAAAATTACAGCTAGACAGGAAGAATAAGTTCTAGTATTTCATAGTAGTGCTAGGGGTCTATAATTAACAACAATTTATTGTATATTTTCAAATGGCTGGAAGAGAGGAGTTCAAATATTCTTATCACAAAGAAATGATAAATGTTTGCCATCATGGATATGCTAATTAGCCTGATTTGATCATCACAGTATGTACATGTATTGAAGTATTACTCTGAACCTCATAAATATGCACAATTTTACATGTTAATTAAAAAATAAAATAATAAAAAAAACAACAACCCTATTTTTACAGAGAAATGAATGTTTTGCACTTCATGCTTACAAAAATCCACGTGGAACAATCTGCATACAGTACTCACATCAAGGCTGAATGAGTACTTGTCACCAGGCCGCAATTCCTTTCGAAGGCATTTATGAAAATAAAGACTATAAAGGCCTTCTTGGTCATCAGTGCTGATGTTAAAGAAAAACTGAAAGGAAAGAAGGAAAAAAATTTAAGGATACTCAAATCCTCAGGTACATTTTAAAATGTTAGAAATAAACTATGGGGCTGGCCTGGTGGCGCACTGCTACAGTGCGCCACTTGGGAGTGCGGCGGCGCTCCCGCCGAGGGTTCGGATCCCACGTACAGACCGGCCGCTCACTGGCTGAGCGAGGAGCGGGCGCAACACCGAGGGTTGCGATCCCGTTGCCAGTCCCGGTCCGGTACGGGCGCGACACTGAGGGTTGCGATCCATTGCCGGTCACGAAAAAAGACAAAAAGGAAAAAAAAAAAGAAAAAAGAAATAAACTATGAATATTAGTGGACAGAAAAAAATAGACTACTTAATCAAATTCTCCCAGAATAGCATTTAAACAGATGTTTTATTACTCTATTATCCCTCTGAATATTTTTTTATAACAATTTTCAAGCATATCTAACAGTTGACAGAATTGTACAGTGAACAGCTATATACCACTACCTAGATTCTACAACTAACATTTTACTATACTTGCTTTATCCCAAATCTGTCAAATCCATCCATCTGTGATGGTTTTTTGCAGAAGTCAGCAAAGATAACCCAAGATGCTATTATCTACTTTTCAAGCCAACATATTATTTTGCTCTTTAGGTAAAAAAATACTCAAAAGAAAAGGAGGTTCATCTTATACTTAAAAAGGACCAAAATTCCCTCATCAAAATTTACACCTATTATTTTAGACAACAATAACAAAGGCTACATTTAAGACATTTTTGTTTCATATATATCATGGGTTCAAATAAAGTTTAATGTAAAACGAAAAATACACATTATTTTATATATTTATATAATACAAAATATTATATGTATATTTTTACAGAATATGACTCTCAATCAATTCTAAGAATATTTTACTATCAGAAAAAGATCTAGCAATAAAAGGAAGTGTATATAAATATTTGGTTCTATTTCTTGCCCCAGGTGATGGTTATAAAGGTGATTATTCATACTTATTTGTTAAATTCAATGTAAGTATTATCCACTCTTCTGCATGTACACTGTACCACCTAATTAAAAAGAATGGGGAAAAAAAGAGACACCTAACAAGGAGATGGCAATAAAAGACCAAGACCACTCAAGGTGAAATTACAAATCTGTTAAACCAGGTCCTAAACTCACAATTGTAAACAAGACAGTGTATATTTTAGTCCATTCAGGTAGTCAGAAAAAGAAAACTTTTCTAAACATATTAAAAACATTAAAAGTAAGACTCATAGGAAGTCTAAAAAAGATGTAAAAGTTTAAAAGATATTTACAGTCGATTTAAGCCCTGACAGTCCCCTTCCTGACTTTAGGTAGATAAAATATCATCCTTATTCCATGGATGAAGCAGAAAAGCTCAGGATGACTGCATTACCCCAAACTCGGAGGATACTGGGTAGCAAACAGCAAAAATTACCTAGTGACTTCTTTCCAAGGAGGGGAATAAAGCCGGAGAAAAAGCAAACTACTCGTGCACTGCCTGTTCTATGCACCCCAAGAACCCCAGGAATGGGCTATTTGAACCCATGTTCTTAATCATCTCTCAGGCTGCTTCTCTCAACACTCACCCAACAAGCACTAGTGCCTGACAAATGTGTGCATTCTATACTTTCCTTTGTGATTAAAAAAAAAAAAGACTTTAAAAAAAAACATTAAAAAACTCATTTATTAACAAGGATTTAGAAGCGAGGGAAAGAAGAGAGAAAAGCACCTTCTGTATTTTCTCAAGGAGGCAGTAAAACCCAAGTGGTTAAACACTTGGGCCTTGGAGTCAAACAAACCTGGATCTGAATCTCCCCTCAGGCAAGTCACTTCACCTCTCTGAGCCTCAGTTTCCTCATCCGTAAAAGGGGAATAATATCAGTACCTATTTCACAGAGTTGCTGGGAGGATGAACTGAGATAATGACATGCAAGCACTCAGCATGATGTCTGCCATAAGTTTACTTGGCTCAGAACTATTGATGGAGAGCCTATCATAGGTCAGGCCTAAGATCAGGAGTTTCAAATACACTAGAATTAAAACAGATAAAACCCTTAGCAGGAGAGAACAGACAACACATACAATAAACAAGTACAGCACACAGCATGTTGGAAGGAGCAGCGGAAGGAAAAGCAGTAGGATAATGAGGAGAGGGAGGTGGCTGCGTTTGAAATAGGGCAATCAGGTGAAGCTTTGTTGAGAAGGTGACATTTGAGCAGACTTGAAGGATTCCAAGGGACAAGCACTCCTGCCTGTGGGTACAGCAGAGCAGAGACTAAGGCCTGATCTTTTGGAGAAAGTGCAAGGAAGCCTGTGTGGTGGGAGCACAGTAAGCAAGAGGGAGAACAACAGGGGCTGAGGGCAGAGAGACAACAGGGCCCAGACCATGTGGGCCTTGCAGACCAGAGGAAGGACTTGGGCTTTTATTCTGAGACAGATGGGACGCTGTGGGAAGATTCTGAGCAAATGAGCACTCTGTTAGCTATTAATATCGATGGTGATGAAAATGATGGTTACTAAACATAAAGAACAAATAAAAATTATTAGATAGGCAAAATAATCTATGCTAAAAGAAATGAGAATAGTAGTTGTGGGGATGGGAGGACTTTCTGAGGAGATAAAAATGTAGAGAATCTTGACAGAGAGTAAGTTACATGGGTCCATGCATTTGTCAAAACTGATCAAACTATACACTTAAAGACCTGTGTATTTCTTTTTTTTTTTTTTTTCGTGTCCGGCAACGGATCGCAACCCTCAGTGTCACGCCCGTACCGGACCGGGACCGGCAATGGGATCGCAACCCTTGGTGCTGCGCCCGCACCTCGCTCAGCCAGTGAGCGGGAACCGGTCTGTATGTGGGATCCGAACCCTCGGCGGGAGTGCCGCCGCGCTCCCAAGCGGCGCAATGTAGCAGTGCGCCACCGGGCCGGCCCAAGACCTGTGTATTTCACTGTAAGCAAATTATATCTCAATTAATGAAAACAAGTTAGAAAAAAGTTTTATTAACTTGTGATTCTTACAAGTTAATGAAACATTATTTGTACAGTGCATAACAAAGCACTTTTACTTAAATCTTTTTTTTAAAAGTAACAACCCTGGGCCTAAGTTATTATTCTTAAATTCAACATTCCTTTTAAAAAAATCACTCTTACATGGAAGAGATAAATTCTATGAAATTTTTCTCAAAAAGCATACATACCTGAAATGAAACTTTCCCATCATTATTATGAACAGAAAAGGATTTCTCTCCCATTGCCTAAAAAAACATAACAATTTGTTTTAGGATGATACTGGCAGAAAAAGTATGCTAAATAAAATTAAAACTAATTTAAAAATAAAACAAAAAATAAAAAATGCTATTCTTAAACCCCAAATTTGCTGACCTTCAAAACTCTCTGAAAATAAAATTCACTATCCTTTCAAGATATATTTGAAATCCCCTTTCACAGAGAATGGTAGTTCTTTACCTATTTCCTTTTCTCAGCGGTCCTGTCTGCGTCTCCACTAGTCTCCTAACTCCACTCCCTCACCCCAAATCTTCCTGATGAAGTTCTTCAGCAAGACCAAAGATGCTGACCCAGGCCACACCCTGACACATCACCTGAATTCCACTCCTGACTTCCAATGATCAAAACACTGCCACTTGTACAATGCTTAATACTAAGCAATGAGAAGAAATGAACTACTGATACATGCAACAACATAAATGAATTCAAAAGCAGTTATACCAAATAAAAGAAGACAAAAAAGAGTGCTGCATAATTCATTTATATAAAGTTCTATAAAGCTTATCTATATAACAGTGACTGATCAGTGGTTGCTTGGGGATGGGAGGATTACAAAGGGCAAGAGAAACTTTTGGAGTGATAGATAGTTTATTATCTTGATCTACAGATAAGCTGAACTTATCAAACTGTCGCTTTAAATACAATGTGCAATTTATTGCATGTCAGTTATAACTCAACAGAGCAGTTAAAACAAAACAAAACAAAACACTACCATTTGGATGCCCCCTCGCTGAAAAATCAAGATATCCCAAACCAAAACGTTCCTAATTTTTCCACTTCTGCTATTTCCACCATCCATTCCTCTGCTCTTCTCTTCCCCTCCCAACACCTTAACTGGCCTCCCAGACAGATCCCTTATTTTATATTCCAAGGCTTCACTCTAGTCCAGAGTATCATCACCTTAAACCTGTATTATTACAACAGCATCCTTCTTGATTCCTCTAATGTCTCTCTCTCTCTCTCTCTCCCCCCAAGCATACCCTGCACATTACTTTCAGAATGATAATCTTTTATAAACACTATTTGTATCATATTCTTTCTTGATCAAGAACGCACGATGACTTCCAATTGCCTGCACATCAATACCCTCTATTGTCTGGCCCTATATTATCTAAGATCTCTCTCTCTCTGCTCCCAAATACGTACCTTTTACTTCAAATAGACCAGTGCCTGGCACTTGTCATGCACATTGCCATCATCCATTCTTTGCTTATGACGTATTTTATTCCCTTCTTTCTCTCCCTCTTCCCAGAACAAACTCCAAGCTCAGCCTTGGTGACACATCCTTCCAGAGGGCTTTCCAGATGGCCCCGCTTTCCCCTCCCCTCACTATATGACCCTTAATCACGTAAGTGCTGTGCAACTTAGCACTCAGTTTTACTTTGAAATTGTTTCAGTATGTCAGCGCTATCTCCCCAAACAGAAGACAACTCCCTATATAGACTGGGCATGTGTGTGTGTACATGCATGTATATATGTGTGTATGCGTGTGCATGTGTGCACATGCATGTATATATGCATGCAAGGGCACTTCAAAAAGTTCATGAAAAAACTGAATCAAAAGATAATACAAATCCTTCCATTAACTTTTTGAAGATCCCTCGTATATATAAATACATACATACATATACACACAATGCACATACAGATGCATATATCCAGAAAAAGCTGAACAGAGTGGGTGGTCAGCTCTTACCTTTGAATCCACTGTACTTCTTTTAGACTTTCCACTCTCTAGAAGCAGAAACATTTAGAAGTTGTCACTGCATAATTCAGATCATATATGTATTACAGTTTCACTTTATGAGGCTCCAGCTTATCTAACACCAAATAATTAAAACAAACAAAAAAATCTTGTGGACTGCCATCTCCTCAGGTCCCAAAACATAATTCTTGAGCTGCAGAAGCAGCAAATTAAAAGATACAGGGCCGGCCCCGTGGCTCACTCGGGAGAGTGCGGTACTAGTAGCACCGAGGCCACAGGTTTGGATCCTATTATAGGGAGGGCCGGTGCGCTCACTGGCTGAGCGTGGTGCAGACAACACCGTGCCGAGGGTTGCGATCCCCTTACCAGTCAAATAAAAAAATAATAATAATAAAAAAAGATATAATATAACTTGTTATATCATAAATGCTGTCTAATAAGTGATATTAGTTAGTACCAACAGGGGAACTCATTTCTGAATAATCTAGTGTATGTTATTGCCAGAGATGCCACATGGAATGACTTTCCTTATTTTATAAGTAAAACAGGTAATTGTTTAAAAAACACATAAGAGATTTATTTACACACACAGGAAAATTAAGAGCAAATAACATCAGCACAATGCATACTTTTGTTTTTCCACAGCAAGGAGTGTTAAGATTGCTAATGGCTTTCTTCATGGGACAGAGAGTGCATCTGTGCCTTATTTTTACTTAAGATACTCTTCATGGGGAAGACAGCATTTCAAGCTCCCTGCAGGAAGGGAGAGAGTTTCAGAATAAAAAGAAGGAAAAGAATATTTTCTGCCCAGGGAATGGTTATGCGAACCCAAGGAACCAAGGAGGAGAGATGGTGCACAGACATTCAACTACACCACCATCACACAAATAAAATATTTCTGTATGACATTTTATATTTTTCATTTATTTATTTATATTTCTGTATGACTTTTAATTTGGGTCAAGTTTTTGCAAACTGAGGAAAAAAATCTATAAATAATACAATTAATAGTAAATTATCCTTAAAGAACCCATATAAGCCATTTCACTAACCTGACAGTTAATAAAAGAGATGATAAACTGGTTAATCAACATAAGAAGAAAAAATGCAGCCTCAGTAAGAAGAGTGAGTACAAGAGCAAGAATACCTTTTCTGCCCTTCATTTTAGGATTTTTTTTTTTTTTGTCCTTTTTTTTTGAGACCGGCCGCACCGCGCTCAGCCAGTGAGTGCACCGGCCATCCCTATATAGGATCCGAACCCACGGCAGGAGCGCTGCTGTGCTCCCAGCGCCGCACTCTCCTGAGTGCGCCACGGGCTCAGCCCAGGATTTCTTAAAAAAGAAAACACCTAGCATTGGTTAAGTGATGGTGATGTGCCCACTATTCCTATATATTTTTCTTTTTTTTTTGTCTTTTGTCTTTTTCCGTGTCCGGCAACGGATCGCAACCCTCAGTGTTGCCCCCGTACCGGACTGGGGACCGGCAATGGGATCGCAACCCTCGGTGTTGCTCCCGCGCCTCGCTCAGCCAGTGAGCGGGAACCGGTCTGTATGTGGGATCCGAACCCTTGGGCGGGAGCGCCGCCACCAGTGTTGCCCCCGTACCGGGCCGGGGACCGGCAACGGGATTGCAACCCTCAGCGTCGCCCCCATGCCTCGCTCAGCCAGTGAGCGGGAACCGGTCTGTATGTGGGATCCGAACCCTTGGGCGGGAGCGCCGCCACGCTTCCCAAGCGGCGCACTATCCAGTGCGCCACCGGGCCGGCCCTACCTATATATTTTTCTGATAGGAATATAAATTCACACAACTCGTTTCAAAAAGAATTTGAAAATATGTATCAATATTCTGAAAAGTATTCCTATCCTTTGAACTATAAATTCCAATTTTGGAAACCCATCCTAAAAAAAAGTTCTATATATGAGAAAAGCTCTATGAATTAAGAAGTCCAATTCAGCAGTACTTACAATAGCATAAAAATGGGAATGTATCTCCTAGAGGGAAAGGTTCAGCAAATTATAGTATCTACTTAATAGTATATTCAATAGGTATGAAGTATGTTAAAGTCAACAGGCACGCATATAAAATTATAAACATGACTATGAATTTAAAAAATCAAATGTTCTAGACTTAGGAAACAAGTTTATAAGGAAACATAAATTACTAAAATTTTAACACTGGGAATAAAGAGAAATGACTATTCTTTTTCCATCTTCTCCATATTCCATATTTTTCTTTAATGGTTTGTATTTTTACATAACCTCCAAAAAAATAATGCTAAGACAATAATAGATCAGGTTTGCTTTTCCTTAGGAACAAAAAAGGATCTACAAAGCAGGATAGTGAAACTTAAATGCTAGTTCCCACCTTCCAGTTTACCTTGTTTTTTCTGAGTCTGGTTGTCTGCTAAAACAGGGTTAACATTAGGCTCCTGGCTCTGACCAAGGACTTTCTCATCCTTGCTGAAGATGATCTTTGGTAACTGGGTACCGGCTTCTGGTGGAGACCTTATTAGTACTCTACATTCAAATAAGATAGAAGGAAAAAAGTTCAAAGCAGTGTTTCTGGCCATTTATTAAGTGCTGTGTACTAGGCATTGTGTCAAACTCTAAATCTGTCATTTCATGTAGTCCTTACTACGTCGTACAGTGTAGACTCTATTATTCGATTTTTACAGATTCTGAAACTGAGGCTCAGAAAGGTTAAATAACTTGCCCAAGGACACCAAGCCAGTAAGCAGCTGGGCGAAGGATCCAGGCAGCCTCGCTCCAAAGCCTTAGTTCTGAGCAACTACATGATTCTGCTGTACATACTTTAAGTATCCTTACAATGCTCAGCAAATTTGTGCGCAAGGGAAATGGAACAAGAGGTAAAAAATGACATTCATAACACATTAAAGTGAAGTCTAGGGGAGCACAGAAGGGGTAGTGGGCACTATTAGTTGTCTGCCTAATATCCATTTCCATCCTTCCCCCTTCTTAACAGACCCAATTTTGTTTACCCCAGCCCATCCCAGGAGGGGCTGGTGACAGTTTCCACGCCTGAGTGGACACACAACCTAAGCTGGCACATTCACGCACTTCTCATCCTGCCTGGGGGAGAAGCCTTCTCTCTTTCCCTTGGCTGGATATATAAACGATGAAGCAGAGCCATCTGGTGATGGCTGGGGAAATCTGCCTGAGGAAGAAGCTAACGCCAACGACGGCAGAGAAGAGATGAAAAGCATCTGAGCCCCTAATATAAGTAAGCCACCACTGACCTGCCTCTCACCTAGAGCCCACTTGCCCCAACTCCACACTTTCAGATAAGTGAGGTAATCACTGTCTTCATTGTTTAAGCCAGTCTAACTCAAGTCCTTTGCTGCTTGCTGCCCAAAAGCATCCTAACTAACACAAGAAACTGTCAGATTAATTTTCTGAAATGAAAAGAGATAAATAAATTAAACAAATAAATAAATAAAATAAAAAACAAAAACAGAGGTTATCCTGGAGAATATTTATAGAGTTAGGGTCTACAACAGTTTTGTGGGAAAGCACTATTTTCTTTTTTTTTTTTTAAGAAGCTTCCCTATTAGTCTTCCTACCTCCAGTCTTGTTCATCTCAAATCCACCCTCCTCTGGGCTGCTAGTGGTCTACCTTAAAGCAAGTTGGAGTACACCACTCTTCGCTTAAATTCTTTGGAGGCTTCCTCATAAATAACACACAAGGGACCTATAAAGTGGCCAGGTGGAGATGTGCTGAATTTGAAAACACAAAGTTCCATAATTCATCTAACTTCAAATGTTTTAAAAACACTGAATTGCCAGAAATCGTCACCAAGAATCTTATGATGCAGATACTGTTATTATGAGGTAAGTAAAGACACTGAGGCCCAGAGTCACACAGCTGGTAAATGGCAGAAGCCATTATTTGGACCCAGTCCTGTTTCTTACCACATTCCCCTCCTCTACTTTATTCTCTATCAATAATCAACTCAGCTTATGAACGCACCATGTTCTTTCATGCCACTCTGCTTTTGTATAGACTATTCTCTTGGCCTGGAATGCTCTTGCCTTTTCCATTCATCTGGTAAAAACCTACTCACTCGAAGGCTGCATGAGCCAGCACTTATCTGAAGCCTTTGCTTCCCTTCTACGATTCACGAGCTTCTCCTCCCTACACTTCTCTACTTTGCTGTAATCATTCGCATTGCTCTTCTGCCCTCCCCCCATCCACCATCTATACAAACTCCTCAAGGATAGGACCTCTGCCTCCCTCCTGTTGTTTTTAATCTCCAACATTCAGCACAGTATTTAGCACGTGACAAACACCCAATCAATGTTAGTGTACTACTAAATCCTCCCTAACTTTACTCTAGGACTGAACTGAAGGAACATCTGAATTACTTACTCACTTCTGGAGATGTCTAGGATTAGAAGGGTGACAGAGACAGCCTTTTTCTGTAAAATACAGTAATTCACATCTTCATCCTGAGAAAGGAAGAACCAATTGTACATCATCTTATTCATCCATGCTAGAACATGCAAAAAAATTTTCAGGAACAAGGCAAATGAGTGGCTCAACCACCATTCCAAACACTAAACCAGTGGCAGGAGCTCAGAAATGCTCGGAAGTCAAAGCAGTCACCACCTCAAGGAAACAGCACTGCAAGGAGCAGGGTGTTCCTACTCAGTGTCTTGGGCTCAGGTAAAGGCAGTGATCAGGTCATGCATTTAACACTCACCAGGTAAGAAGAAAAGCCATCATTCTTCGTACGGTCTAGGCTGAATCCAATCTAATGGGGGTGAAAAAGAGCAGAAGTAAATATGCACACAATTTTCTGTACCTTTCTTACTCATAGAGCAGGAAAGGTGCTCTTGGCCTGGCTCTCTCTATTTTCTTAGTATTCATTTTGTAAGAAGGCAATACCTGCTCAAGTAAAATCAGTGATTACTAGAATTATTCAAGAATTACAACTTCAGTGTTGCTATGGTTTGAATGTCCCCTCCAAATCTCATGTTGAAAGTTAAACTCCACTGTAACAGTATTAAGAGATTGGGAAATCTGACTATGATATTTGAAAGGTGAGGCTTTTAAGAGGTGACTGGATCACAAAGGCTATGCCCTCATGAATGGATTGATTCATGGATTAATGGCTTAATGTGTTATTATGAGAGTACACTGGTGGCTTTATGAGGCGAAGAAGAGAGCATGTGAGCACACTCAGCCCTCTCGCCATGCATCACCTTGGGATTCTGCAGAGTCCCCACCAAGAAGGCCCTCACCAGCTGTGCCCCATCAACCTTGGACCTACCAGCCTCCAAAAATTTAAGAAATAAATTCCATTTCTTTATAAATTACCCAGTTTCAGGTATTCTGTTATAAGCAACAGAAAACTGACTAAGACAAGTGTTAAAAGTAAAACTACCTGATGCCTAATACACAACTTGGTACACACAACTTTAATTTTCTCCATATTCTGGTACTTTATATCTAAACATTGGGGTGGAAGGTGAATCTTTCACCTAAGCTAAAAGAGTAAACCCCTTGATATTAAAAGGCACTTACAGTTGCATCCTTGTGTGTGGCTCCTTCGGGCTCATGCACTGAGAGGCTACTGACATTAACCACCATATACCCATCCTTGAAGAATCCAAAGGTGTTCAGATGAACCTTATGCCTCACATCATCCTAAAGAGATGTGCAGTGGTGGAATGAGTATATTAAAAAGTTACGTTTTGATTATTTAACCTATTCATTTGCTTCAAAAACTATGGTATCTAGTTTCCTACTAGCCAGCCAATGTTTCCATATGCTCAGTAATACAAACAGGCGTGGAACTTAACCTTTCTCCAAAAGCTGAAGACGACTCATCAGAAATTCATAAGATATTGAATGGATTCAAGTCACTCCACTGTACTTGCATGGGTTCTGGGGGCAAACTCAGTGGTCAGCTGGAATGTGAATTCCAGGGCAGGAGGAATCATGTTTCAGTCACCCTCACTCCTTCCTGATAGTACAATGCCTGGCATCCACTAGGTACTCAAACATGTTAAGGGGTGAGAGGAAGGAAAGGAGTGGCCAAAGCTGCTCATTTATATAAACCTTTTTATCAGTTGTGTGGACCTGCCTCCTCCCATTGCAGGATAAAAAAATGGTACCTGCACATTAACTCTAACCAATAATTCAATTTTTAAAAAAGATTCATTTGCACCTAAAAATGATATAGTATATGATATGTTTTAGGGAACAAAAGCTCATGCAAAAGGAATCCCAGGTGTTAGTCAAGTGGAGACAGAATCTTTTGGATACAGGAAAATCCTGAGCTTTGCTGAAATTGCACCACATGGGCAGATGCCTATCCCACCTGCTTGGCACTGTCTCATCATCATGATTCCAATCTCAACTAAGGCAATACACTGTAAGGGCGATAGAACAATAGTGTAAGCAAATACTTCTAAAACTGGGGCTCCACAAAGATACTTTATGTTGTGTAAAATTATTGAGTTTTATATTGAGAATTATTTGCCTAAATTACAACATCTTCAATAAGTTTGCAGCTTGTTTGTGTGAGTAGTAATTTTTTATTTCTAGATTTGTGATTTTTTGGACATCAGAGGCAGTCTAATGGCAAACACCAAAGGACTGTGAAGAGAGGCTGTAAATCAGATCTTTAGCACAAACACACACAAACAGAGCTATGACACATTCTATTGCCACTAGGAGTAGGATGATTTTATTTCCTAGCCTACTCCTCCATTCAACAAACACAGCTCTTTGAGAGTCCTAGATTACAGGCTGAGAAGAAGGACACAGTTCTAACTTTCCTCCCTGCTTGGGTCAAAATCTTTGGGCCCTATTTCCCCTCAGTGCCTGTTAAAAATCCAAGGCTCTATGGTCCAAACTTCTGAAATGCCTCAGGTCAGCTCTGGTTTCCCTGTTCTCTTACCCACTGGGGTTTTGGCTCCTTCTTCCTTTTCTTTGACCCTGAGAATTTCCCTTATTTTCTTAGGAGCTCAGCTATGCATTTTTCTTTTTTTTTCAGCTATGCATTTGAAGCACATTTGCTGGACTTCCACTCCCCAGTGGGATAGAGCAGCCTGCAGCAAACCAGCACTCCCATGGAACAACTAGAAAAGCCAGGTAGGATGACAGAAGTCATCTGCTGGAAGGCAACAGAGAGCTGCTAAATGGTAGAAACTAGAAAATCAAAGGCTCACAGCCTTTCTCAGGATTCTCTGAGAGAATCAAGCCCTACAGAAAATGATCTGAGTGACTATTTCCTCAATTCTCCCAAGGAGACTCCCAAGGACCCAAGGACATGGCTACCACCATCTTAAAAGCACAGGAGATAAATTAATCAACCACATACGATGGGTGCCTGAGCACATTAGAGCTTAATCCTCTGGCAGAATTCCCAGCTGAGTAGGGCTGCAAAGAGAGAATGAAGAACAAACACAACAACTCCTGACACATGTAACGTGGATGAACTGCACTACTGAGCAAAATAAGGCATATTCACGTAAAACAAATTCCAGAGCAAGGGAAACTCATTCAAGAGAATAGTGATTACTCTCAGTAGAAAGGGACTTTCCAGTTACTCGAGGGAAGCTGGGGCTTAAGGAGCTTCTGGAGGCACCTGGTAACGGTTACATTTCATTTACTGTTGGCTGCATGAGTGTGTTTACACTGTGGAAATGCACTGAGTTGTATGCTCATAATGAGTAAATTTTAGCATGTGTATTACACTTCATCAAGTTTAGGGCTGGCCAATTAGCTCAGTTGAGCACAGCCTTATAACACCAAAGTCATGGGTTCAGATCCCTTTGTCGGCCAGCCATCAAAAAAATAAAAGTTTAAATTTTAAAAGTATGTGTCTTCTAATTTATCCAGCATGTAGATGCTTTGTAACAGAATGGAAGCCTGTTAAGCGCTTTTTATATTCACTTAGTCCACCACAATGTATCTTTCCTAGTTTTTTTGGAGAAAATGTTCCAATTGCTACCTTATAGCAGCTTTTTTCACGTAAACAGTATATTTCTTTACTATATTTTCTTACCTTTATATCATAATTTCATTTGATGATACAATGCCATTAAAAACAAGTTTTTGAAGAATATTTTAAACAATAATAACGGCATCACAACTCCCAGTTTTCACTACTTTCCAAGAACTGGGTTATGTGCCAAGGGATTTACCTATGATTTCTAACCTCACTCAGCCCCAGTGTGGTTAAGAGTAACATTTCCAATGATAGAGATGAAGACACAAGTTCAGAGGTGAAATGACTACCCAAGACCTTGAGGACTATAAATGGTAAAGCTGGGATTTCAACACAGATCTTATATGAAAGCCATTTTCACACTACTGTCTACTGATATGTAAATCATGATATAACATTAAAGAGCAGAATCCAAACTACATATAGTAAGATATGAGCTTTTAAAAAATTAAAAGGCATATATATTTATACGTATTTATAAAAGACTTGAAAGAAATTCACCAAACTATGAAAAAAGGTCAGTGCTAGTGGGATTGTAGGAAACAATTTTTCTTTATACTTTCTGTATTTTCTAAATTTCTAACAACACATAATTTATAATTAGAAAAAAAATCAAATGTTATTTTTAAAGAAAGTATTACCATTTGCCAGTAATATCTGCAGGACCCTCAACTTACCTAATCCTCACTTTCATTTTTTTTTTTGGTCTTTTGTCTTTTTCCGTGTCCGGCAACGGATTGCAACCCTCAGTGTTGCCCCCGTACCGGACTGGGGACCGGCAACGGGATTGCAACCCTCGGTGTTGCTCCCGCACCTCGCTCAGCCGGTGAGCGGGAACCGGTCTGTACGTGGGATGTGGGATCCGAACCCTCGGGCGGGAGTGCCGCCGCGCTTCCCAAGCGGCGCACTATCCAGTGCGCCACCGGGCCGGCCCCTCACTTTCATTTTAAACTATCATACCACATCAAATATGGTACGTATGGAAGTGACTTTGTAAACTATACCTCACTATACAAATCACAGAGACATAGGAATCTCAGGATCACAAGGGACCAGGAAGGTCATACATTCTAATCAGTCATTCAACTTTATTTGATTCAATTCTACGTAAGTAAACTAATATTTATAGAATGCCACTAAGGGCTGAGACCCCAAAAGTGAAAAATACTCAGTCCCAGAGATAATCAGTCTTGAAAATCTCCAACAGCCAGTCTTAACTGACCAGACACAACGAAACCTTTCCTTTCACTATGGAGAGGCCAGAGATAACGGCACTCTGAGACAAATGCCCCAACCACTCAGCCAGCATCTGGGGATGGAGTGGGAGTGGAAGAGAGAGAAACCTCACATCTCTCCTTCCAGATACTCTCCTAGAAGGGGCAACAGTGTCAGTCTCCTGATAGCAGGGTGACAAAGCAATACAAAGCACAAGCAAGGAGGATTTGCCAAAGTAGCATGAGGAAGACAATACCAGACACAAGCAACAGAGATTTAACTACATTTTCAACAACCACCCTACCATTTCCATTAGCACTGACACAGCAGTATAAGTCTGTCTGTTTCCCCAAGTATTTCAGAGATTGCAGGCACTTGACCTTGTATCTAGAACTGTGCTAATAATAGCTTCATATATCACTATTCATTCTTCTTACAACTCTGAGGCAGGTGTTATGCCATTTTATAGATGAGGAAACAGAGGCTCAGAGAGGTAAAACTCCCTTAAACTCATAAGGCTGGTAGGGAGCAGAGCCAGTAGTGTAACTCAGGATTGTTTAAACCCTAAACCTGTGCTTTTAACCACTTCATACTTTTTACAACCAAAATAAATAGTATATCTTTTGGGTTTTTTTGTTTTTAACTTTTTTATTTAAAAAACTTGAAAACATCAACTCATGATTAATTTGTTCCTCTACACCCTCCCCCCCACTCAAATCCCAAACATCCTATCACTTCATCTATCAATATATCAGTGTGTATCTCTGATAAGAGCTTTTAAAAGAAAACCCCACAATAACATGGTATATTCTTAATCACAGTAAACTGCTTATCAAGTTAATTAAACAAGATTGTTTGTCCAAGAGAAGTCAAGGTTACAGGAACATAAAATATAGTACTGTTCCTAGACACATATTTATAAGGTTGGTAGTAAAAACTTAGTTTTTCCTGGCTTTCCTCACAGACATATTATCTGAAAGCAGTGAGAACTCAATTGGCTGATGCTAATACATTTACGATCTTGCAATCAGTAATCCAAATGAGGGAGCAAAGCATTAGTTTGATGATGATGAAGCAGTGTGAAATGATGTATACTTGAATTACCATAGAAGATCTCATTAGAGAAAATGCAGCACCAGCAGATTATTCTGGATAATTTCAGATTACTCTGAAAGATCTGCTCTTATTTTTGAAAAACTATTTTGTAAAATAAAACTTCATTTTAAGTTTATCAAAATTCTTAACAACATTATATTGTAAACATAAAAATTACTCAGAGGCTGGCCAGTTAGCTCACTTGGTTAGAATGTTGTGCTGATAACACCAAGATCCAGGGTTCAAATCCCTGTACTGGTCAGCCACCCCCACCCTCCCATCCCCCCCCAAAAAAGGCTCATGGAAAAACAGAATTAAAAGATAATACAAATCTCTCCATGAACTTTTTGAAGTATCCTCGTATATACAATTTGCATTT